TGCTCTCTCCTGAGCTTAAAATCCAATAGTTTTTTTTTCCTGCTAATCTTTACAATCATAGACGGCTCGTTGATCAGCACAAACAAAACTGTTTTTTTCCTAGTCTGCTGGTTGGTTATTGCTGTTGGTGATTTGTATTGCTGCACCAAGCAGAGATAGTCCCAAACTGGGATTTTGTTGTTCTAGATACAGCCGAGACACAAAGATACAGAAATGAAGACACAATGGGGAAGATGATGGGAAGATGAGAGTAGGAGTCTGATTAGAAAACCAAGTACTTTTGTTACAAAGCATCAGCTATGATTAGATGATATATTTGAGGTTCTTCCATTGCTATTTTCTACAATTCTATGATAAGGTTATATTGCTCCAATGTTAACAGTTAGGACATGAAATAAATGTTTCCGGTGGCTTATGCATATTACAGACTGCTTGGCACTCAGAGTCCATGGCAGATCCTACTCTCCAAGACATTTAATTTCTCAATGTATATTTCTGGTTTCTTTTTGGCAAGAGCATGTAAGGATTCAGCATTTCAACACCACCTTCACTACGATGACTCATGATGACTTACCTTCACAGTAAAGCATCTCAGTTGTCACTAGAGGTCGGTAAAACAGGGCACGCCACAAATGATAACAACGTTCTCCAAGAGGGATGGTCAGATTTGGAAGCTATCAAAACCCCTGCTCCTTTATTTTGGGGAACATCAGCTGAACTTAGAAATGTGCCAACTAGCAGCCCTGGAAACTAAAGGAATTTACTCACGTAGCAGGTAGGCAGCGCATACGGAATCAGTAAAAGGATCCTGCATAGAGTTGCTCCCGTGGGTTTGAAAGCCAGCACAGAGGAACCTCCGCTAAGGATGAAGGACTGTCTCAGGCTCAGCATCCCCATCAGGTTTCGGCTGCTCCACTGAGGCTGTCTACAGGGGTGATAGTTACACCAAGCTCTAGTATTGTTATACACACACCTTCTACCTACCACACAAGTGTGCACACCCTATCCACAAATACAGGTGACTGCACACAGTTCTTCCCACAGCCAAAAGATGAGACCATTTTTGGTAATCTCCAAGTATGCCAGGCTAAACTTTAGCTGTCAGTGTACATTGGTTCACCCTCTACTACGTATCTGAGGTAGGCAAGCAGTATGCTCCTCTCTATGAGTTTCCAGAACCATCCCTTCAAGGTGCTTTCCCAATGCATTTTTATGCTGCTCTAAAACATGATCCATTAATATTCACATCTGAGTAAGAGTCCCAGCAGGACTGAAGCTGCCTCAAAAAGACACTGGCTGACTGAGGAAGAAATGCTGGGTTTGGACAGTCGCTTCAGGTGATCTTTATTCTAATATTCTGTGGATTGGACCTTTTTTAAACCAATGAGCACGCTTTTTAAAAGTCAGACTATTGCAATTACATCATGCAGATTTCTATTCTTGCGCATTTTTTGCATCCTCACACATACAAAGATCCAGCATTTTATCAAGGAGACATATCTGCAGGCACTGCGACAGCTGCTGCCTGGCCCTTTGAGCCCGCAACGCTTTATTTGGGTCATGCATAGTATCTTCCCTTCCCCTTGAAGCAGGTAAAATGTCCACTCACTTCTGACAGTGAGAGATACCACCACTGAAGTAAAGCCATTTTAGAAGGAAAATTGTAAATGAGGACAAACCTGCTCCTGCGCATTTATGATCACCTACAGGCAGTGCTTCTTGAGCTAGTGATGTATTGCACTGGGAGCTAAATTCAGCTTTTATACTTGGCACCATTGTAGCTTCACTGCTCGTAACGGGGGTTACTGTCGTCTGAGAAGGGAGCGCACACTCCCTGCATCCCACACACAGAAGCATCCCTGCACAGTAAGACTTCCCATGTCCGCAAAGCTGGAGATGGGATTACCTCCGTGTCACTGCTCTTGTGGAGGTAAAACTGCAATAATAACGCAGCCTTCAGGCCACTTTCTATTCATGGTGAAATTGGCTTTCAAAGTTTTGCAGGGGGTCATTGTGGTGATCACTAGTTCTGGGGAATGTTTTGCTCTGAAGATTACATAAAATAAGAAAAATCCCAGTAAGAACTAAATCCCAAATTCAGTCTCATTTACTAGCAACTAGAATTATGCAAAAGCATTATTAATAGTAAGTAACTGCTGATGCTTACAACAAATAAATACTATTAACTGGATGAGTTCAATACTTATGAAATATACATTACTTAGTAAGGGAAAATATCATTAAAGTTTCTTATTCAGAAAAAAACATACTTTGCAAAATCACTTTGAGGTGATGGAGTATCCAGACTGGCAGCTTCATAAATAAAGCTTTACTAAACCTTGCTCTTCAGCTTGCACTGGATTATGATGTGGGTGTCAGCTTGGTTTGCTCCTTGCTGTTCTGAGGGGTGCTAAGTTCCACATATAATCAGGGCTTTATGCTGGGTTGAACAAAAAGCTACCAACTATAAACAAATCTAGATCTTCATTTTGAGGCACCACGGTAGGATGAACCTGCAAGTAAGAGCAGAACTCAGTCAAAATAGTTGAGTTTGAGATGTGACCTCTGCAAAATAACTCAGGCCTTACAGGATAATGAAATTAAACCTTAAATACGTTACCAATGGAAGGGTAGGCATTTGCTGAAACATTCACTGGTGCCCCACTGAAAAGTTTAGTAGGAGAAATCATTTTGCTGATTGCAAGTTTTGAGTCCACACTAAAACTCACAGACACAAACGTGTGACCCAGTTTCCTGTTCCATGACCGAACCATTTGCACAGCTCTAAATATAAAACTGGTGACAACATATCCGTATTTGTTGCAAAGGGAGCGTGCTTCATGAACTGCACTGGGCAACAAGTTGCATATTTCCAACCATCCTGCAAAACCCAGCTTATAAACGAAGAGAGAATCAGGCACTGTTTTTCTCTTTTTTTTTTCATACCCACATCCAAATAAACATGAAAGCCCATATTGAAATTATAAATATATTTGTGTTATTTGTAATCATGGCACTACACAGTGAAAATCATGTCATCTCATTTTTCTTGAAAGAATCAGAATAGCATAAGACAGTATTGATACAGAATATCCTCTCGCTGTCCTACCTAATTCTGCTTCTATGTGTTTTCAGAAATAATAATCTTAACAATGGTACCATGAAGTCGCACTGAATAAGCAGCAGAGCTAACAGAAATAAACACTCTTGTGCCAGTTTTGACCTCAGCATGGTGCAAACTCCACTGCAAACTCTGTCAGCCGATGGAGCAACTCTGTTGATGTCAGTGACGTCATACCAATATGAGATCAGATCAGACCTACTGCATGACATCTGCTTCAGCCTAACACGTATATAATCATTATACATAGCCCCAGTATAGTGCCCCCCCCCCCGAATATCTCAAAGCACTTGAAAAAAGATAAATGGTTACTATGATCTTCATTTTATAGGTAGGGAAACTGAGGCACAGACAGCTAGCGATTTGCTGAAGGTCTTCTAGCTGATCACTGTTGGATGGGACAACACCCCGGAATGCTGAGTCCTAATCTTGTACCTATGGAGCACATTACCCCTGAACACACACAGTGGAATTCACCCATCGGCCTGAACAATCAGTACCACAGATAGAAGAGATTTAGAACTAACTGTCCATAAAAACCCATTCATATTAACTGAGCCAGGCAATATTTTAACCAGAGTGTTTTTAACGAAATAATAGAATTTACAGTAGTTAAATAGATGCTACTTTTTATCAGATCTAATTCTTTTATAATAGCATACAGTCCTTAAATTGTTTATCACTATGCTATTCATTACTTTAAGCCCTCACAGCTACTCTAGATGATACTTTAAATACACAGAGCTTTAAAAAAATATCTCCATTACAAATGTTTTAAAAATATACTTATCCTAAAAAGCTGTCCGGCACTATTCCAAAAATCTCTTGTAACAAATGTCTTTTTTAATTTTAACAAAAATATCTAATGTTATATAGAAGAGCTCAAGTTTTGACAAATCTATAATACAGTCAGAAACATCTCGGGCCAGATTCCACTCTTGTTTACACAGTTGCCAATTTGGATCCTGGTGTTCACTTCAGTTGTGTTACTCTAGTACAACTGGGAGCAGAATATAGCCCTTAGTGTTTTAAAATAACTAAATGGACTGGATACTGCAACAGTTATTTGTGCCCAGCATTACAGGGAAGGGAAATCCTTTACTTCATTGCATCTAAAAATGCAAAAGAATGTTATATTTAGTATTTGTGCCATAACCAAAGAGGTGCCAGGCAGCTGCAGCAGATGACTCAGACCTAGAATCGTATTCCCTTCTAGAAAAAAATATTTTTGGCTGAATGATGCCTGCAACTGCTGTCATTAAATGGAGGATGAATTTTTATTATAGAGAACGCTTGTAGAGAGAAAATGCCAACCTTCCTATAATGCTTTCTACAAGTCTAAGAATTATTTTAATTGCATTTTGTTACTTATAAAGTTGTATAAGCTTAATAGAAACTCTCACTACTTAGACCTAGGAAGGACACTATTTTAAACTGCTTCCTTATTTTCCAGCTGAAATGCCTCCAGTTCTTTTCAAAGTGCATTTAGAACAAGCTATTAAGCACTAAAAGGAACCTGCATCTCATCAAGAAGGACAATCTGGAAGCTGTGAGTTAATCTTTTAAAACATCGGAACATTTTTTTTTGCCTTTCCCCCTTTCTCCTCCAATCTGCAAATGTAAATGCAGTGTTTGATGAAGGATCATAGACATTAACCCAGTCTCATTGCATCAGGTTACATATGTGAGCAAAGCTAACAGTCTCAGATGCAAACTGCAGTTCCTACCTGTGACCATCATCAGATCAGAACAGATCCTTACACATTGTGATTTCACTTAATTCATGTTTAAAGCTTTTACTCTACTTGTTTTCTTCCTAGACTTTGGCTGATGATCTAGTAACTTATAAACCAAGGAAACTTAAGCATATAGGCCAAGTTCAGTCCTCACTGTCGTCTTCATCATCATCGTCATCTTTACTGGGAGCACATCTTTGGAAGCAGTGTACCAGAGTTGCTAAGAAGAAGCTTGATAGAATAGCAGCAATGGAGACAGCGACTCCAGAGAAGATGATGATAAAAAGGTCCGTCAATGACAAACTAAATTTGCATTCACTAAAGCTGACCTCAGATAATTCATTCAGAAAGATTCTTCTGTTTTCTACAGGCAGGGAACACTGGATTTCATGGAGACCTGCAAAGAAGAGGAAAGGGAAACAAATCAGTGGAATATTGATTTGATGCTGAATCCTTCTCTTGCCTCAATCAGAGATTGAATGGCTGAAGAAAAGTTTTAGGGTTAATTCTAGGTTTATGAATTCATGCAAAATTAAGGAAAAAATGCAACAAAATCTGTTTCTATCCAAAAGCCATTACATAACCCCCTTGAGTGGCTCCCGGAAATTAATTTATTTCACTTTCAGTCTTCCAGGAGGTCTGGTGTGACCCAGGACCATGATTCTGAGGATCTAAAATAGTAAATGTTGAACCCTGAATTTATCTAAATCTAGAGACCTGGAATCACTTCCCTGCTACTCCATCTGAACAGAAATCCTGACTCCAAAACAGGGTAACAGAGATACTGAAGTTCCTTCCACTCTACTTTTTCTCCATATAGTTCCAAAACTACAGTTGTCTTTTTCTTCTGGTCAAAACAACAGCTTAGGTTCAATGGATGCTCGTTTGTCTACAACCTGCTTTCACCTTTTCTCTGACTGTCACAAGGACATGCAGACTAGCAGATATTATTCCTCCACGCATTATTGAAGAACGTCTAGAGCTGGGCTCTTCATAGTGAAAGCAAAAAAAACCCAGATTTAAAAACTAGTGAGAATATAGTTTGATACTGGACAGTAAAAGCATAGAATTCACTGCATATGCCCAACTCCCTCTTCATTCACAACAGAGGAAAATCAGGAGGTATATTAACAGGGCTAGAATGGAACAAACAATGAAGTGAATTCAGTCTGTACGGCTGTTGGCAAGACAGCTTTTATCTTCCTATTACGGATATGAATGTGAAGGGGAAATACAAGGATTGTGTATTAGAGACACAAGAACTGCTCATGGTTTACTTGACACACTTTTACTCTTTGTCTGCTAATCATCACATCATTGACTCTGCATGGCTGTGTGCACATAGTGCAGAGGGCATCTCCATCACACAGCCCTGCTGTATAACCATCAAGTCACTTTAAATAAGGAATGCGTGACGCTAAGATTTCCTCTGCTTTTGTGGATCCCATTTTTCTTGTGGCTGAATAGCTATGGCATATGATATTCTACTATTAAATCCAGGCTCTTCGGGTTAGTGGTGCAAACCTGAGTGGTTATCTGGGTCCAGCCCAGCTGTCACATTGATTTGAGAAGGAGTTCTAGCTAAGTCTACTATAGATCAAATTATCACCCTGACTTACTTGACCTTGTAACGATGATTGCACTAAATTTTGATCCCTAAAAGCCATCCTATATCTGTCATGTTTGCCTAAAGTTCTGTTGCCTTCCCTATTTCTCATACTCCTCTCACTGATAACCTAATAAAAGCTGCCAGCAGAACAGGACAACAGTCAGCACGCCCAAGGCTGAACGCTTTCCTCTAGGCAAACTGCCACCTGAATGCATACTAGACTTTTTCCTCTGAGTCTGCAATGCACTGGCAATGTACACCAGATGGTGAGGCAACTTGCTTTGTGAGTCTTTGAAACCTCCTGTCTACGAACTGGCCTGGAGGGTAAAGGAGCCACATGGTTTCCAACACCCTCTGAGATTTTGGAACCTGCAGTATTCCTATACATCATGTCTTGTATACGAGCACTTGAGCATGTCCGTGACTGCAGGAACAGCTCAAGGAAGTACATACTATTGCCCTCTATGGTCTGTGACAGAGCTCTTTGTACAAACCTTTCTACTCAAAGAAGTGAGAGTTGTTCACCGAGTCCATGTTTTCTTTTCATCAAGACTTGGCAATAACAACTCTGGGGTTAACGACAGCAACAAGCCAAAGGGGAGACAAATGGATATCCTTCCCTACTCAAAACCATGAGAAATAAGGGAGGGGCAAAAAGTCACAGGCTGGAATGCCAAGACCTGTGTCTTTTTAATCAGATTTTAAAAAGCAAACAGTTTTCAATAAATCAACGTGATATTGACAGTAATCAAAGCAGTTACTGCTGTTGCGTAGAAACAGCCAGAAAATGAATGTTGCATATCACAAATTCATTTTAAGAGGAAGCTCACTGCAGTATTTTGGCAGAAAAGCCTGGTCCAAGTGAATATGGCACCTAAACGAATTCCATCTCACTTGTAGCAAGCACAAAAAACCCCAAGTTTCTATACAACTGTGTTTCTGTAAAACAAACCACTGTAACAGCTTTGGAGACCTCATGAGAACTGCTGTTTTCATAACAGCTGAGCCATGCTCACAGCATGTCTGAAGAAAGAGGGCACGGGTGACCATAAACAACCCTACTTTTTCTATTTCTGATTAACTGCAAAAGAAATTCTGTAGTGTCCTTTTAAAATTACCTCTGTGCTGGAGTGGCACTGATGAGCTGGAGTATCAGATCTAAGCTTCCATAAGGAAAGAAGTAGAAAAATAATATATTTAAGAAAAGAAAAAAAAAGAAAAAAAAGACTCTAAAAGAAAACTATTGTTCTAAGCAGTTCTACGTACTGCAGCTCTTGTCTAGAAATAACTTCGTATGGTAGCATTTGCCCAGGATCCCAGAGATGGAGAAGAGCCCACGTATTCATTACTATTACAACAGCAGTTTTGGGATGGATCAAACCCAAGCCTACAGGCTGTGAGCTCTATTCCTATTTCCAAGATGCTTTCACCTAACATCACAACATGGAATACAAACAGAAAAGAACCTGCAACATACCAAGTCACTTAGTGTTTCTTGTTATGAGAATCAACATACTGTGATGATTTTGAGTATGATTATACAATAACAAGAAATAAAAAAGCTCCTCTCCATGTAACCATGGGTACTGGAATCTAGGTCATGTTCTCAAACCAAATAGATTAGATGGGAATTTTCTACTTGTTTTATTCTGTGAAACTCCAACGTGCTAGCTTACCCCCAAGTTTCTACAGAATTCTTAATCATTGAGAATAACAGATGCCAAGTGGCAAGATCCAGCATCATAAACCAGGGGCCAGTACAGAGGCCCTGCTAGCTCCCAGCTACAGTTTCAGCCACCCTGTACATGCAGCATCTTTTCAACAAGACAGGAATGAACCGACCTCTCCCATCCACACACAGGCAGTCTGCTAAAACTCTGCTGGAAGGAGCCTAGAAGGGCTGCAGAGCTCGGTGGAAGCACATGCCAGTGATGGAGGGAGAAAGGAACATTTATCAGTCCATAGTGTTTGGTGAATGTTCTTCTTCGCTGCATCATGACACTACCGCAAAACCCAATACAGTTAACGGAAGCTCTTCCTTTGACTCCAAAGAAAGAGAATTTGGAACATACTGTTCATTTGTAACAGTACTATGACTAGCAGCTATATTGCTGGTGGCACAAGGAATTTCTCCTCCCAAAGCCAACGCAGTGGTTATTGCACCTGAGCTTCTAACTGCTTACCTGAACACATAACGACCCAAAGGTCACACGCACATCTGCTTAAGATGACATATGAGCAATACCATTACATCTGCTTTCCTCCACAGCAACACGTTACTTTTACATTTTCTAAATGCAGGTTGTCCTTATGACACGAGAATCCAGTGTGTGGAGAGCTGATGTTCTGTACTCCATCTGTCCTATTACATTCATGCCCAGCAACAGACCCAATTTTGTTCTCTGCTTTGGCAGAAAGTATCCCAGGTCATCATACTCCCTGTGCATGAACAATGAACAAAAGAATGACTTATATGAGGTGATCAGTGTTAATTATAAAGTATGGGGTTTTTTTTCCTCTAGGTGATTGTCACATATAGACTGGCTCAATCGAATTACCTGTCCTCACACACAAGACTTCCAGAGGACAGGAGAGTGCCATTTAACCTTACTGCTCTACTTCCACACACTAACTGCTTGAATAGTGTTATTTTGTATAGTTTGTTGGGTTTTTTTTTCTTTTAATTCTGTAGAACTTGTTCAATTTATTATTAAAAAAAAAAAATCAGTCAGCCTTCTTGTAAAGGGTATCTCAAAGAAGTTTGATATTTAGCACTTGGCTGCAGCAAGAAAACCTTTGATGATAGTTATATATATCTCTCATGGCTCCCACAACATGTTCAAAGAGTTGCTTCTTCATACCAAACAAATGTGTAAATGAAATAACAAGCGTGAGGGTTTTATAAATATATAGCTTATGTTATTTTGGTCAGTGCCATCACCTTATCTGTAACAACTCCAGCTGTCCCAAGGACAATGTCACATGCTCTGTATCTTTCTGCTATGTCATCTGAAGAAGCAGATGTACTACACCAACAAGCTGTGATGTATTGTTTGCTTTTAAGAAGGGAATGCTTTGAAGTCCCAGTCACAGGACAGGTGCTAGACTCTATATAGGCTGTCTCTTACTTTATTTTTTCAGTGCTAAGATGAAAATATGGGTCTCTGCCCTGAGGAATAGATCGTCTGAACAACAAGGGAAGTGTGAAAATGCTGGAATTCTAGAATCGTAGTGTTAAAAGAAGAGGCAATGTTTTTAAAAAGAAAAGATACACATCTTCATAAAGAAGCGATGCAGGTAGGTTCCAGGTAAAGTTTATTTAAATGGAGTTCCCTAACAGGTTTTAGGACTGTTAGGCCTATGACTTTGAGATGCCTTACCATTAGAGGATTATAACTCCACTGAAGTCTGGCACCTCAACCTTGACAATAAATTGTAGGCAATTAAGCTCCAGCTAGATCCTAATAAACACTTTGCATTTGTTTCTGTAAAGGACTAGGCACAGGCTGACTTGCCTTGCAGAGTCAGAGGCTGAAACACTTCCCCTGTAAAATGAAACTCTTGCAAAATGGATGCAGCCCGGAATCAGTCTTTATAAAAATAATTAGTAATTTCCTTGTAAAATAATGAACACAGACTGACAATGCTGTAAAGACAAAGCTAAAGACAAGCAGCAAGAGGTATCACTTACTCCAGGTCGACTTGACTCTGTTTTGAAGGACTCCTGGTGTATTTCTGTCTCTGCTTATTTCTAATACCTACGCTAACTACACGTTTTATTGGAGAAC